GTAAACGCTTCGCCTATGAGAAAAAGGAGCAGCGCATGAACCGAACGAAACACACACAAACCGAACCGAGACAGTCGAACCGAACGGTTTGGATGGTTTTCATAAACCGTTCCATCCCTAATATATATATATATATATATATATAAATATATATATATTAAAATTGTTCAGAAGATGGCAAAATTGAATCTATATCTAGTGTGAATGAAGGCTGATTTACTTCAAAACTAGGTTGTCTGCGTAGGTGTCACAGTTAACGCAGAGATATCCCCGCCCCCTCCGCAGACACTCTGGTGTACCTCTCCCAAATTGTAGGTGACTACAGACAGTGCTGCAGACAGCAGGCGTCCAAATTGGTCAAACCTACATCCGCTCTACACATGCATATTTCCTGTTTGGTACCTTACTGGCTTGTTTTGTTTGTATGACCGCCATTGCGGAAAACGACTCGTTAAGTGCTTGAGAATGCTAGGACCCTTTTTCCACCTGGATCCCCGCTCTTTTGGGGCAAGTTTTCGCACAAACTTGCCCCAACTTCCTCACTGCCTTGGCTGTATCTAGACCCCCAGCTAGTTCCTGATTGTCCCTCTTGCATTGTGGCGTGGAAAATATAGCGCAGACCAGGCTTCAAAATTAGGCATAAATCAAAAATGTCTGCGTCATACCTGCGACAAGGTCACTGCAACAGACTGCTGCTGGATTATAACTAGGCTCTGAGAGGTTGTGTTCGGTGAGAAAAGCACAAACCCTTATTTTTAACTCGCATACACGGTTGCCCAGGCCAGAAATCCGGCCCCGGGCTGGAATACTTTAATCCCTGTGAATGTGAGCCTGAAGAGTAAAACCTGAATGCTTTCCTTTAGTTGATCTAATCAGAACTAACATTTTAAAAAGATATAAAGTTTGAGGAAATGCTTTATTTGGTCAGTGGTTGCAAGTAATGCCATATAGCATCAAATAACATCAGCTGATAAATTGTTTGAATATCAGTAATGCAAAAATAGCCCCATGTGGCATTACATCACCCAATGAGATGAGTTTCTGCTTCACATACAGTAGCTCTATTGGATAAAACAGAGAAGCAGCTCAGCCTCTCAATGTTACTGCTGGTACAGCAGTAAAGGACTTAGTAACAAACTGTCAGTATTAACTGAAACGCTTAGGTTCTACCTGTCCTGACTTTCCTTCCCAGCTGTCCTCTTGTTTCGTCGAGCCATCTTGCACTTGTAGCTGGCTTTACGGGCTGGCCCCACTTTAATGGAGGTGTTCTCAAAAGGCGTAGTTGTCACCGTCACCTTGTTGCCACTCTGCACAGAGCAACCAAATGATTTCTGCAGTGAGATCTCACAGTGCTGACTCTCTGACAAACAGCCATGCTTCGACATGTAAAGGCCACAAGTTATTTAAATTTTAGCACCGATAAAAATATCATTGATATGAAATGAAAGTGATGCAAACCTTGAGGATGAGCTCCACCACTTCAGTGTGGACCAAACCATGGACCGGCTCACCATTGACGTGCGTTATCAGGTCACCTGCGCACAGACCGGCTTCCTGAGCGGGGCCTCCGTCCTCCACATGCTGCAGATACACAAATACATTAAAACCCAAAGAATACATTAACATGAAAGAAAATTAAGTAACACTAAGGAACCAGGAAGACTCCATACTGGGCTGGACAGTTTATGTTTACCTCTGCATTCTAGCTGCATAGAAACCTCTGGTTACACAACACAACTTATTAAACTAGATCATCAAATGCTGTTTTACATATAACTAATTAAAGAAAAACTTCTAAGGTTTTTGTGAACTAAAGAGTTGTCAGATATGAGTTATTTTAAATGAGTCCTCAGGCTAGTATACAGTGCTTGACACTATCAATGCTATGAGCAGGGCTCCCCTCTTGAAATACCACCCATGTAAGTTGGGAGAAGACGCACCGTCGTTGGCCAGGTCAAGTGACCTGGAAGAACGTATCGTTTTACTGCCACAGGCTCTAATATTGTCATGGAGCTAAGGCTTTAGCTTTACTTTTACTCTGCCTGCTCGACTGCTGGTTATGGCTGAGGAGGCTAAAAAGTGAAAAACCTGAAAGGGATCAAGCGAGAGGAAAAACAAGAGTCGATCATGGAAAGCAGTTTGTTCGTTTGCTCAAGCTTAGAGAAGAAGCCGGATGTAAAACGGATTCTATTTTCTCAACTTTATTATTAGACTTGTCAGTTAACACTTTGTTACTAGTATACAGTCATATATCTTTGTTACTATTTTTTAGGTTTAGTAGAAGCAAAATACAGGCAGTTGGGGCTATTGCCCCTAGTGGCCAAAAGCTACTGGGTGTGCCTTTAAGCTAATAAGTAAATGACAAAAACAAAAAGCTATGACTCGCCTGTCGCTTTTCAAAATGTTCTTACCCAAACCATGTGATGGACGCTGTAGATGTCACTGTCTCCGATGTAAACTCTGATAGCCCTTAGGGTAAAGCCGTATTTCTTCCCAGAGCGATGAATTGTGATCGGGGATCGAAGAACGGTGACCGCAGGAAAGAAGTCTCGGCTCGGTGAGGAGTCACGGGATGAGGGGTTGGAGGAGAAGGAATGAGGTGACATGGGGCTGGCCAGTGGAGAGAAGCCACCATGTTGCTCCACTGGAGGAAAGGAGAAGATGACGGTTAGAGAAGATATTAATAAGAACAGTGGCAGTGTTTTAGGACCTTCAGCCTTTCACCTGACGGGATGATAACAGACAGAGCTGTGGCCGACGCTGACTTGATGACCTTGTTTCCTTGTCGTGAGTTCCGTTTTTCTCCGTCGCCAGATAAGTGGTGATGGCGTGCCCGGCGGAGGACCAGGTCATTGGTGGCTCTAGCCCCCAAGGGGTCATACAGAGGGGTGATCACATCTCGACAGGGCGCGACAGGACCAGGGGATAATGTCATGATGGCTGAGCTTATGTTGGATGTCTCTGAAAGTCTGGGTGATTTCTCTGCAAGAAGTCCGATGGTTTGATCAATAAGTGATTTAATCAGTTTAATAGAATGTTTGCCTTCTAAATCTGCCAACATACCTGCTCCATTGAGCTCCCTCACAAAGGGCCTGTGCTCCAAGAGGCTTGGTGAAGGGACGGTTGTCCCATCTAGTGAGGTTCCTCTGAACCTCATCAGGTTCTGGCGGGTCAGAGAATCCGACTCCCCTTCAAAAGTTGAGGCAAAACGATGGGTGTCCATCAAAGCTGAGAAGCGGCGCCTGGCACCAAGAGGAGGACTCGCATCTCCTTCCGAGTACAGAGACTCAGAGCAGGACAGCCGCTTCCTGCACAACAATGGTGAGGTACAATGGTCACTGCAAACCATTTG